ATTAATAAAATGAAAAAAAAAAACGAGTTATTATATTGGCTTGTCTTACCACTTCCTTTTCTTCCTCCCCTTTTAAATTCTTTATTATTTCTTATTTGTTTGATCTCTTTACTGTTTTTTATAACTTTCCTTTTTATTCTTAACTACACTTAAAAAAAAAACTTTTAAAATAGAATGATTAAAATGACCGACTATTTACAAAAAAAAAAAAAAAACCTCCTAAAATACGGTATGAATAATTTGGGATATTGCTTGATAATCCAATAAATTCCGTTTAAAAACTAAGAGAAATAACATTTAACAAAAATTGCTTAAAATAAATTAAGCAAGATATTTATTTACATGTTTAATAATAGTTAAGAAAATAATAGCGTGTAAATTTAGTTAAAATAAGTTACTCCTAAAAATTATCCTTAAAGGAAACTGATTGAAAACGAGTTGTTAATGTTAGTAGCAGTTTGCGGAACATTATGACCAAACTTATATTCAGGCAAAAAAAAAGCAAAACAAAACAAAACAAAAAAAAAAACAGTAAACGCACCTCTTCTTTTTTCATCTTCAAGATGGCGGGTATATAATGTTTTAAGATAAATTCAAAAGAAGAGGTTAATATAAAATTAAGAAAGAGGCATTTAATCATTAGGAACAAGTAATATATTTAAGCTCAACTATTATAATAATATAGTACACTGAACAAAAAATGTTTACTCTATAGTCGGGCATTATTTCCTGATATAACTTCTGCTAGTTAATTGTCACTCTGCAAACAAGAAACTTCAGGACACTTCAATAGTTTTTTTCTTAAATTTTAAATGGCGCTTGCAACTTCCGTATTTCAATACAATGGAATCCCATTATTTTTATTAACGAACCCGGATGTAGACTTCACCCTGGTGCCATATTAATCATTAGGGACCTTATGGCGTGCAAACATCCCGGAAGTATCTCTGATCGCTTAGTAGTTTGGGATTTAAAAACACATAAAATTACCAGCTTCTCTTATTTGCATAATCTAAAGTTTTTCTCCTTCTGTGTAATTTTTACTTTTTTTCATTATGTTCGACATTATAATTAGGCTAATTTTTTCTCCTCCTTTACTTGACAAACATATTTAGACAAGGCAGTGTCTATGCGACACTTACTCAATTTTAAAGATGTCATTTTATTATTTTATGACTGTTTAACTTTATGATCCTTAGAATCAATATGTCTTCCTATAAAGTCCATTAAGTTCGACCTCTGTTCTCTCGAAAGGATTTATAGTGGCTCTGTCCCAGGCTATTAAGCGCTGTGGAAATAAGCAATAAAAGTTGTATCGGTTATTTAAATAGTAAGTATTAAATAGTAGCTCCTGTTATGAGCAGCAGAGCAATGTTACTGCTGTGTTTGAATGATCACGGAGATCTGGATGGATGTATCTAGCTAGCTATCTGCGTATGTTCATTCTCAATCTATCTGAGCATATTCATTATCTATCTATCTATCTATCTATCTATCTATCTATATATATATATATATATATATATATAATCAAAATTAAGTAATTAATCGAGTCTAGAAGACACCGCAATAGAAGGCAGAAAGCACTGGACGGCCATTTTGTCCTATATTTGGGACTCATCAGCAGTGTGCATCCACTACCGACAATTGAAAACCAATGCTTTCTGGATTCTTTTGAGGTTTCTTCAGGACTCGATGAATTAATCATGATTATCTCAAATCTTCCTAATAAATTCTATCATATATATATATATATATATATATATATATATATATATATATATATATATATATATATATATATATCTTCTGATCTATTTAACTGAGCTTAGACGTGTCAGGATAACGAGATTAAAGAGCACCCTGTGAGGATCAAGCTGCTCAGTCAAATTTTACCTAGCGCTACTAGCTTGCTAACTATTACACCACGACGAAGATCTATCTATCTATCTATCTATCTATCTATCTATCTATCTCTATCTATCTATCTATCTATCTATCTCAGTAGATTTCTATCAATAAGTTTATCTATCTCAGTAGATTTCTATCAATAAGTTTATCTACCTATATATAAATCTATCTAGCTAGCTAGCTAGCTAGCTATCTCAATATATTCCTCTCAAAAAGTTTTTCTTTGTGAATATCTATCTATTTATCTGTCTATCTCTCCATCTCAGTAGATTCCTCTCAATAATTTTGTCTATGTAGCTAGCTATATGTTTTTCTATCTATCTATCTATCTATCTATCTATCTATCTATCTATCTATCTCAGTAGATTCCTCTCAATAAGTTTATCTAGCTAGCTAGCTGTTTTTCTTTTAGAATATCCTCTATCTATCTGTTTATCTCAGTAGATTCCTCTCAATAATTCTATCTGTCTTCTTCTATCTATCTAATCTATCTGTCTATCTATCTATCTATCTCAGTAGATTCCTCTCAATAAGTTTATCTAGCTAGCTAGCTGTTTTTCTTTATGAATATCTGTCTATCTCTCTATCTCAGTAGATTCCTCTCAATAATTCTATCTATCTATCTATCTATCTATCTATCTATCTATCTATCTCTGTCCATATATATTTGTCTGCCTGCCTATCTGGTTCTGTCACTTTTTATTAACTTTGGCTATAATTTCAATGAACAATTTCAATTATGGATTCTCAAAGCAGTTAGACGTTCATCAGTTGTAATTTTGGCGTAGTGCAATCTTCCAACCCTGTATATATGCTCCTTCGTCAGGCTAGGCCTAGCTATGTAAATACCTATGGTCATTCTGAATGTCCCTGTACTGTTTCTCCTCTCTTTCTATTTCTCTCTATTTCTGTTTCTCTCTCTACTTCCTTCGCTTTATTCCCTGGTTTTCCAAAATTATTTATTTAAAAAAAATTATAACATAAATATGTTATAAAATCACTACAAAAATAGCCATTTTGTTTCAACATCCCCGGTGTCTTATCAAGTGATGATGTTGAATATAAAATAAATGGTTTTAAAAGTTTCAAATTAATTAACGATCCTTCGCTAGGGGAAAACGTTGTTACAAAAGCTAGAATGACCAATCAAAATACAAGTATAGGAAGATTCAAAAAGCTTGACAACGAAATCATGTTATAATAGCTATTCAGATCTTTAAAATACGGGTAATATTAAAAAAAGAATTTATTCTAACCAATAACTATTAAATTATATGATAAAATTTGATATTGAAATTTTAAATTACCAATTTTAAAATCCAAATTTAATCACTATTAAGTTTAAAATTACTGAGGAGAAAAGAAGAAATACATGTTATTCAATTTATTTCTTCGTTGAAATTACGTTAGAATAGATGCTATGTCATCCGGTCCTCTGACAATATATATATATATATATATATATATATATATATATATAGATATATAATTATATATTGTTTTATTTTTTATTTTTTCATAGCTGTTTTTTTTATCTTTATCGATCTAACTCTGGTGTCTAAAGATATTTTAGTCCTTGTCATCTCCATGTCTTTCTGTAACTTGTTATATTTTTTCTTCATTTTAAATTGGATTTTAAGCAACGAAAGAAATATCCCAAACATCTGACAGGAAGTAATTGAAAACCACCATTAAAAAATAGCTTAATATAATTTCACACCTATATATATAATGAAAACATGTAGTGGAATGATCAACATTAATATATATATTTTTTAATTACCCGAAGGCATCAGGAGAATGTCACAAATGTAGGCTTTTGGATCCTACTTTTATGAACAAAAGATGTACCTTTTTCCACTGCTTGACTTTACATTATTTACATTATTCGGACTATTGTCCTCATCTTTCTCGCCATATTTATCACAACGTTTCGGTTCCGCTCCTTCTTCAGGTGGTTGGAATTTCGACCTGAACCCTTTATTTCACTTACTGGGGTAGACTGTTCTAGTTCCACGTGCCATGCTTGATGGATGTCAGTTATCAGTTATCTCCTGCTAATTTACCTCTGAAAGTTCTCCACTGCCTTAACCGGGTATTGAACCCACACTCTTTGGGTCCTGTCACAGGATTTAACCAACGCCTTTATGCACTGTGTCATTGTGGGTATGAATTTCTGGCTATTATAAACTTAATGTCTTCAGCAACCATTACCAGTACTCATATTGCAATTTTTGCTGTTATCATTGCATGTTTTTACCAGATCTCATATTGCAGTTTTGTTGTTACTGCTTTTCTCTGGCACTCCTTATTACTGGTTCCCATATTGTATTTATTTCTATGCTTGGTCGGCTCAGGAGATTTTTTGTGGCCGGAGCGTACAACTTTATTGTTATGTTCTTCTCGGGAACAAATATTTCACAAATGTTCAACCTGTTACATTTGCTTTCATTGCATATCGTTTTGTTGAAAACATTTTAGTGGTGTATATATATATATATATATATATATATATATATATGTGTGTGTGTGTGTGTGTGTGTGTGTGTGTGTGTGTGTGTGTGTGTGTGTGTGTGTGTGTGTTTTAAAACCTGGATTGAAAAGGTCTGTTACACGCTGTTATTTTAGTTTCAATGCCCGAATAGATGATGTTCTTGGTGTAATAAGACAAATATTGTTATTCGAATAATTTATTATGTGCTATTAATCAATATTCCGGTCCACAGAAGTGAGCTAAAAGTTCGGGTGTGGTCGAAAGTCAACACACATTTTTCGGACGTTGTCTTTCCCCGTCCAGGCTCATGCGCGGTTAACAGAGAACTTCCGCTCTTCCACATTTCTATGACGAACTTTGCAAGTCTTGCTCTCATTATGTGCCCACACTCTGTAATCCAGAGGATTGATGTCGAGCAATTGTGGTGGCCAGAAAACCTTCGACCAGAAATTATTTTTTGACTTTAACCAATCTTGCGCGACTTTTGCTGAAAAACATAGTCTGCATCTTCGGTTATTTTTCTCACCCAAGGCAGGACTTTCGTGGCCAAGATAACTCTGTAGTCAGCTGCAGTAAACCTGTAACCGATTTCAAACTACACAGTCGGCATCTTCTGCCCGTCTGAGGCCACGACGCCAAACATAATCTCAGAGGCCAGGTGCTTGGTCATAGATACTTTGCGGACCTCAGAGACGTCCTGGCCAAAACTGACAACACGATCGATCTCCTTGTTCGCGACAGGATCCAGCATGAAGTTTTTCTCATCTGATAAAATGACAATGTGATTCCCATTGCTTTTCAAATCATTAAGAAGGTGACCACAACGCTCTCGACGTTTTTCTTGCATACAAACAGCTAGCAGGGGTCTTTTCACACGCCTGAAGGTTTTTCCTCCGTCGTTCTTGATGGCCCTGGGCACTGTGGCCTCAGATATTTTTTCTTTTCGCGAACTCAGTCATTTTGAGCGTCGAATTCTTCTCAAATGCTTTCCTAACAGTCGACTTATTGACAACTAGCGAGGTCGATCCTTGAGGCCTTCACCGTTCCTCAGTCTATCTGCGACTCTGTGGGCGACCATCCGACTGATTTTTAGCTGTTTGGCGATTTCTGACTTGTTGTGGCCCGCAGGGAGAAGAGCAGATATCTCAATTATTTTTGCTTCCATTGTTGTCGAAATACACCTTGCCTCTATTTACCTGAAATGATAATTACCTGAAAAGGTCAAATTTTAAATTATTGTGAATGAAAATAATTTTGACAGTTAAAATTATCACAAAAATTTCAGAAAATGAAGTGTAACAGAATATTTGCAAGGCCCTGTATATATAGATATATACATAGCACTCTAGATTTTATACAAATATGACGTGATGAAGACTTAACTGAACATTTAAATAATTATTGCAATATAGTATTCATCGGTTTTAAAAGACAACATTAAAATGCAAACCTCAATAAGTGGTATAAATACAATGTGTGGTTTAACTATGTTTATATATAAAAATAGAAGTGGACAGGTTCGCCGATCGTCCGGTTCACACTCCTCCTCAATCTTTTGAACATGAGTAGTGGTGTATGCCTTCTTCCCTGTTTAGGATTGGTTTCCCGCTCCCTTCTAAAGTCTAGTTCTTCTCTTTCACTCCCAATAGCTGTTTGTGTCTTAGTGTCATTATCGCCTTGTTTGGGGTGAATTGATTAAAACGCAATAACCTTCCAGGCCCTACTCTTCCATCCATCTACACAAGCTTGCTAGGTAGGTTAGTCGCTGTATCCCTTTGACCTTATTCCCACTTATATGTCACCGAGAGTATCAGTCTTAGTGACATTGTTGCCTTATTTGTGGTGAATTGATTAAAAATAATTCCTCGCATTCTCCTTTCTTAAAATCTAAAGCCTTAGAGATTAAATGGGTACGATGTTAAAGTTAAATGAGTAAGTATTAGAATGACTGTCCTCACATTCAAGGGAAATTATTTTCCACCCTACCACCCCTTTTCTCACAGACGAAAAGTCGCAAGCCTCTCGCTGCTCTATCGCTATTTCCATAGATAATGTTCAGACGAGCTACATTCCTTATTATCACCAGTTCAACCCTTCATGGCTTAGACCCGCCATACCACGCGCATTGTAGGGAACCACCGTCATTTCCTTTCGTATTCCCCTGGGGAGATGTAAGTTCGACCAGAGACTTTCTTGCCACGAAACGCTGCTTTGTGGAGTCGACTCCCAAGAGGATGCTTCCCCGATCATTACAATTTTAACTTTCTCAATTCTTGGGTTAACTGTTATCTTCTCTACATTGCAACACAAATTGTGTCTCTTACTCTGTAATCCTCTACCTTGAGTGGCTCTTGGATCTCTACAGACCCTGAATTTTCACCTATATCGATGGTTCTCTCAGGGTAACACTTGGACTTAAACTCAACTCAGACTTCAATTGGAACTTATGTTTACAGTCAATCGTTAAAGATACTGGGGAAAAAAAGTCGGTTCCATCTACCACTCCAGTATGTATCTGATTCTTCCTATGATTCTCTACCTTTCCAAGAGCCAGATCAGGCCAAAAAACAGGTGATTAATTATTTTCCACCCTACAAACACTTTCCCCCAATCAAAGCGTAGCAAACTTCTCACTGCTCTATTGTTATTTCCATGGAAAGTGTTCAAATGGACTACATTTCTTAGTTCCAAAAGTTCTAACCTTTATGGCTAAAACCCGCCATGCCACATCCATCGTAGCGAACCACCCTCGTTCCCTCCGTACTCCACTGGTGAGAGGTAAGTTCCTCTCGAGCAGCAGCTTCTCACGAACCGTTGCTTTGTGGGATCGTCTCCCAAGAAGAGGCTTCCCTGATCACTACAATCATAGGCTGTTCAAGTTTAAGGTCAACAGTTACCTTCCCCACATATCCTTATAAACCGTGCTCTTACTCAGTAACCAGTTACCTCGAGTGGCTCTTGAACCTTGTACACATAAAAAAACAGCAGCTACTTTCTCAAGTTTAATGCATTATTAAGGGAATGCAGAAGAGGTTATTTGTAGAAGAGTGCTGAACTATCAATCCTCCTGAAGGGTAGTAAATGCTGAACAATTTCCTCATTCGTCCCAGCTGGTTGCCAAACATCGCTTAAGAAAGCAGTTTTTTTCTACTTTTAACCAACAGTTAGAATAGCTACAGTTGTCATCGAGTCCTCGTGCCAACTAGTCATTGAATACGTGGCATCATAGAAAACCAACTTCATATAAAGGTCGTGATGTTCATGCATATCAGAATCGGCTCGAGGGAGACACGACAGATGGTGTATGTATCAAACAATACGTCTTATTTTTACTTACTAGAATCTTTCTTGAAGGACCTACATCTGTTGTTGTGGAGTGATTTCGCAGTGGAGGCTTGTATTTGTACTAAATCAGTCCTAAAATAGGTTCGAACAAGCAGGTTCATGCCTTCCTGTTAGCAAAGAGTGGACACAAACTGGTCACATCGATTCTCGTTTCTGTGGAAACACGCATTTCTTAATTACAGTGATGTTCACCCTGTACAAAGGCCAAAAGTGACTTGGGGTAGAGGGTTACAGGGTAAGAGGTAATGATAATGCCACTAAGACGCAAGTGGCCACCGGAAATGAAAGAGATGGAAAAGACTTTAGAGAAAACCGGAAACGCAACCCTTAACAGGAAACAAGGAATAGACCTCTACTTCTGTTCAAATTTATCTATTGAGGAAAAAAAGAAAAAAAAATACAAATAAATAGTAAATAAAAGTTCAGGTTTTTAGATGGAAACATTAGAACTATATAGTTGAAGTAGACTTTAGAAGAAACCGGAAACCCAATCCTAAACAGGAAACAAAGCATAAACCGCTCCACCTGTTCCAAAAGCCGGAGAGGAGTTTGAAGCAGACGATAAGCAAACCTATTTATTCTTATTAAGGAAAATAGCAAAAAATGTAAATAATTAGTAAATAAAATGTCAGAGTTCAAACGGAGACGTTAGAAGTATAGAGTTGAAATAGACTTTAGAAGGAACCGGAAACCCAATCCTAAACAGGAAACAGCGGATTATATTGAAATAGAAAAAAAAGTTGTAAATTCAGTTCAATTTAAAGAACATTGCAGGAAAAAATCTGCACACTCGCTTAAATATTGATTTTTATTATTTTATTTTAGTATTTTTTTTACTTTAAACTTTCACATATATTATTTCTGAATATTTCGCATTTGTTCCTAACTCGAAATTATCGTAGCATCAGATCATCTTGCGGAGAAATCTAAATCGGTGTCGCTTAAATAAACATTCCCCATTTTTAGATTGTTTTATTTTTTTTTAGTTCTTATCTACCACAACGAATACATTAGCTAACTGAAACATCTCGCTATCTAACGTATCATGAGTAATTGAGTTTATATTGTTTACCAAGTTGCCGATCGTTTTTCTTGCGTGACAGCACCATTTGTAAGTTGTTCTTAAAAGTTGCCCGCCTTCAGCAAAGGGCAAGATTCTACTTCATCTCAAATGATAAGTCTTCAAAAAAGAATTAAAAATTCACTTAAGCAAGCCTCCGTGCTTCCATCTACAACCGGAACTATTGTTTAAAAAGAAAAAAAATATATATTGATTTTTACACGCAACTATATAAAGGCAATTTTATTTAATTTAATTTAATTTTATTATTTTATATTTTTATTTTATTTTATTATTTTTTAAACATTTATACGAGTATATACTGTGTACTTATTGACTACATGCAAATTTAGAATAGGGCTGCGTTTAAAGTGCATAAGCACTGGGTTAATGCTAAGACGGAATGGTCTCCCTTGCTTTGCGTGGCAGGCAGTCTTGGATAAGGAAAGTTCTTAATCCAAAGCAGGGTGGATTCTTTAGCATTAAATGGCAACCCGTCGCCTATAGAATTCAACCTTAACTACAAAAGAAGTATGCAATCTCCTGCTTCCATATACCGTGTCACTTCAGGATTTAGACGGTCATAGCTCTCCACGATTTCCTGTCCTTTGTAGCTCGTAATCATTTTTATCTTTTTTTTTTTATCCCTCTAAAACCTTGCTCTGCCATCCATTTACTCGAGTTCGAAATATAGTTTACGCGTTGTTTTTATCCGTTCGTCTTGACTATAATTTGTCTTGTGAGCATCAAATTTCCCAAGCCCTCTTTCCTCATTATATACCCTAGAAATTTCAAGTGTCTCTTCCTTATGAAAGTATGTCAATTTTGTTTCCATTTTCTCTAAAACTTCATCGTTGCTCACATGTTTGGTTCATGATAGTCTCAGCATCCTTCTGCAGAATCACGTTTCTTTTGATTTAAGTTTCTTCTTCATCTGTGAGGAGATTGTTCATCATTCACCGCCATATAGGGGCACTGATATTACGTAAGATTTCAGTAATCTTTTCTTTGATTTTAAAGAAATAAGAAAATCCAAAATTACAAAATAATGTCTTTTCTTTTCCATGAACGGAAATCTAAATGATTTTTTTCCGCAGGCTGAATTGAATGTGCAGTTAGTATAATGGCAAGAGGCCCAGAACGAGGAAACAGCGGGCAGAGTTCAAATTCACTTTCAGCACGAATACCCTTGTATCCTCCTTACATATGGTGTTATGTAGCAGAGGTTGGACTTCTTGGCCTTGGTTGGCAACCAGTATAAGAGAACAACAACACCCCATCCACACTGTCTTCATTTTCATAGTCCAACCATAGAGTCAGAAAAAAAGATCGTAACAGCTTACGACATTAGTACGTCCTAGGTATGACGATAAACTCTATCCGGCAGCAAGGCTTCTGATCGGGAGTTTTCAGGATCGTAGAGCCACCTCATAATGGTGGCTATTCCCAGGTCCACCCTGAACCGAGGTGGTAGCATATTTTAGAGTCCCAGCTATGGGCAAATAGTTAATCATCAAAACTGGGGCCAAAATACTATGAAATTATAAAAATACATTTTTATAGTAATAAACCAGCGATCAAAACGGAATAGTCCATTAGTTATGATGTATTGGCAGGGCGTAACGGTCGTGCGAACAAACGAAGCGGCGGTGAGAAGTACAATCATTATATGATTTTTGAAGACTGATGCCAATAAAGAAAAACGAAAATTTCTGATTCAAACTTATATTTGCAACAAGCAGCTGGTTAGACCTGAAATAATTACAGTAGTAGTTTTTAGTAAGTATCACATATTAGACTTGAACTAATTATATATTATTAAAAGTCTGCAAAAATATATTACTAACTGTTGATCCTCGGGATGATGTTTGAGTATGCATCAAGCTTAGGTTAGTCTAACACAAGGTTGCAGTAAAAGAGCACGCAGTGAATTCATTCTATTGGTGAATTCGACTTCGCAACAAGTCTATTTCAATAGTAGCCGATTTTATACTTAGCTCTGTCTAGTACTAGAATGAAGACCCGGTACGGATAAAAGTGCAGTAGATTAAAACTAACTTGCTATCCACTGATTCACTGTGAAAGGATTTAAAGCAAGTTGAATATAGAGATGTTTGTGAGGTTCAAGGTATAATACTACACGGGTGGGGCGCTCAATAAAGATTGAACTCATTATGCTAATAATAGCTTTCGAGACTAACTTAGTAACCATTGCTCCCCGGAGATGCGCTAAGTATTTACCGAGCCTAGCGTAGAATAAATAAGACTGCGTCTTTAGCATATTCGTTGCGGATTGAACAACTCAGAAATAATAGCCGGCGAGATTATATTTCTGAATGCTAAGATCAGGTATAGATCGTGTGTAAATATTGGTTTGATGGTGCGTGTAGATAACGCTCTATCCAGTTTTTCAAACTGGCATCTTAATAATTTTTTTTTTCTTAATAAGCTTCTTTTTAACATTTTATATAAATCTGATTTCTGCCGAAAGATAACAACAAAGTTTCTATCCGTTTAACAAGTTCAGAGAGTAAAAAAAAAAGAATATTGATTCTCTTTCAAGTGGAAAAATATGAAAAACGCTATCTTTTTTACAAGTCAGCCGTTTGAAAAAGTATAATTACAGCAAATGGAAGGAAGCAGACGATGAATAAATGTAACAGAGAAAAAACTTCTGGGTTGTTAGTTCTGCATTTCAGGTTTCTTTCTGGCGGTAAAAAAATGATATCACGAAAGAAAGAGAGTTGAAAGTTTTTTGTTTATTTTTAAATTAAATTTTAAAATGTTTCACGATTCGCAGTGAGGCGAAGGAAGCAACAAATGAAAATGATGATAACGTTGATACAAATGAAATTGCCAAATTATTTAAACAAAACATTATTTTGATTCGTACAAAAATGTTTATTGAACCAAAATATGTTACCTCTGCTTTGAAAAATTCATTCTCATCTTGGCAGAAAAATTACCAATTTTCTTCGAAAAGAATTCTTCATGCAGAGAAGAGATAAATTCATTCTGATTTCTTATAAGTTCGAATATAAGTGGTTTATATGGTTGAAAAAAAGAAAATCTCGTGAAAACAAGTCGGGTGAAGAAGCAGGATGTAATTTTAATTTTTTAGCTATTGAACTGATAAAGTTAGATTCGCGACATGATGGCGGCTGTAATTATACAGCAAAATGGCGTCATTGTTCTGTAAACAAGGAAATGTTAGCTTTGGTTTGAGATGTTTTTGCTATTTTTTTCACAAATGGTCAGTTTCTTAGCCTCATGGAATAAAGCAGTGATATAGAAAGGAAGGTTATAAAGGAAATAAAACAAATATACCAAGCTTAAAAGAAAGACACATAAGTGAGCTAAATGAACATCATTCTTCTTTTAAAAAGGTGTTGAATATATAAAGTGAAATAATGAGAAAGTTTGTGAAAAAATGACGAGAAAGAAAGAAAAACTAGGAAGAGAAAGAAAAAGTATAAAAACGAAAAGAAAGCAAAGCGAACAAAACCAGGATAAAGAAAGAAAGAAAGAAAGAAGGAAAGAAAGAAAGAAAGAAAGAAAGAAAGAAAGAAAGAAAGACAATAGAAAAGAAAGTAGGAGAAAGAAGAGAAGAGAAAAGAGGGTAGGAGATAAGAAAGAAAGAAAGAAATAGCAGAAAAGGGGGAGAAAGTAGGAAAGAGTGAAAATAGAAAAGAAAGAAAGAAAGAAAGAAAGAAAGAAAGAATGAAAGAAAGAAAGAAAGAAATAGGGGAAAAAAAGGAAGAAAGTAGTAAAGAGTGTAAATAGAAAAGAAAGAAAGAAAGAAAGAAAGAAAGAAAGAAAGAAAGAAAGAAAGAAAAAGAAAGAACATAGAAAAGAAAGAAAATAGAAAAGAAAGTAGGAGAAAGAAGAGAATAGAAAAGAGGGTAGGGGAGAAAGAAAGAAAGGCGGAGAAAAAGGGAGAGAGTAGGAAAGAGTGAAAAAAGAAAAGAAAGAAAGAAAAATAAAAGAGCAGGAAACACGAAAAAGTACAGAAAGAAAGAAAGAAAAAGAAAGAAACCTGGAAAAGTAAAAGGAAAAGCGTTAAAAAGACGGAAAAATTGTTAAAGTGAGAAAAGTAAAAATAAAAGGCGAATAAAGGAAGTAAAAGAAAGAATAAACGTTGAAAAATAAAAGGTAGCAGCAATAAGAATATAAACCTTAAATACAAAGTCGAATGCGCTTAGAAGGGAAAACGAAGAAGAAGAAGAAGAAGAAGAAGAAGAAGAAGAAGAAGAAGAGCAAATAATAATAATAATAATAATAATAATAATAATAATAATGCAAACAGTGACGACAATGATAAATATTTTGATTCTCAAACTGAGACTTGAAATCGTAAAGTAAAAAGTAAAGTGTCAAAATTTATCTCGCAAGAGTGATTTACTCTTTCTGCAGGAAACATTGTGTAGTTGGTGATGAGGGTGGGGAAACGAAGTATGGTCAGGGTAAAGGTTCAGTCAAATAAAATAGAGAAATGAAAACTTGAAAATCTCGATGAAGCGGGGTTGGGAGGAAGGAAGATGAAGAACCAAGTGAGGCTGGGGTTATAAAAAAAAACGAAATAAATAATACAAAACGGTACTGCATATTCGCTTGGAAGATGGAATGGTTTAGGACGGGGAGAAGTCAAGGTAATTTGAGATTTTATATTGCACGCTTCACGTCATTTTGCAATCCTCTACCCAGTCTCCCAGCCACCTTCTGAGAGAGACAGAGAGAGAGAGGGAGAGAGAGAGGGTAAAAGAGAGAGGGGGTAAGAGAGAGGGTAAGAGAGAGATGAGGGGGAGAAGAGTATCAAACTAAAAATCAACGAACCCTGGCACTGAACAAGTGCACGAAGCAGAAAAAAGGGGCAATGGATGAATGAAAAAGAAGAAAAAAAATCGTAAAAGGATGAATGAAAGTAAATAAATATATAGTTAGGGAGGAGCATAATTTACCTGCTCTCCTACTGTTATTTTGTCATAGGCATAGTAGCGTCGATTACAAAACAAACCAAAATAAAATAAAGAATAAAATTAAGGAAAACCACATTTTAACTTGCCATAAGCACGCGTGCAAAGGTTTCTTCTCCCTCTTCTTTGTCATCTTCTTCTTCTTCTTTTCTATTTTTTCATTAACTGCTTTGCTATCTCAATCTCATACTATTCTTTTCTTTTTTCTTTCCTTCTTTCTCATTTCTTTCTTTCTTTTCCCTTTCTTTCTTTTCCCTTTCTTTCTTTTTTCATTTCTTTATTTATGGAAACATCAGAATCAAAATCAAGCATTTCTTTCTTTTTCCTATCTTTCTTTCTTTCTTTCTTTCTCCTTTCTTTCTTTCATTTCTTTCTTTCTATCTTTTTCCTTTCTTTCTTTCTTTCTTTCTTTCTTTCTATCTTTTTCCTTTCTTTCTTTCTTTCTTTCTTTCTATCTTTTTCCTTTATTTCTTTTTTCTTTCTTTTTTCTTTCTTTCTTTCTATCTTTTTCCTTCCTTTCTTTCTTTCTTTCTTTTTTCTTTCTTTCTTTCTATCTTTTTCCTTCCTTTCTTTCTTTCTTTCTTTTTCTTTCTTTCTTTCTTTCTTTTTCCTTTATTTCTTTTTTCTTTCTTTTTCATTTCTTTCTTTCTTTTTTCTTTCTTTCTTTTCCCTTTCTTTCTTTTTTCATTTCTTTATTTATGGAAACATCAGAATCAAAATCAAGCATTTCTTTCTTTTTCCTATCTTTCTTTCTTTCTTTCTTTCTTTCTTTCTTTCTTTCTTTCTTTCTTCCTTTCTTCCTTTCTTTCTTTTCTTTCTTTTTCTTTTTTTTCTTTCTTTTTTTTTTTCTTTTCTTTTTTTTCCTTTTTTTTTTTTTTTCTTTTCATTTCTTTTTCTTTCTTTTTTTCTTTCTTTTTTTTCTTTTTTTCTTTCTTTTCCTTTCTTTCTTTTTTTCATTTCTTTATTTATGGAAACATCAGAATCAAAATCAAGCATTTCTTTCTTTTTCCTATCTTTCTTTCTTTCTTTCTTTCTTTCTTTCTTTCTTTCTTTCTTTCTCCTTTCTTTCTTTCATTTCTTTCTTTCTATCTTTTTCCTTTATTTCTTTTTTCTTTCTTTTTCCTTTCTTTCTTTCTATCTTTTTCCTTCCTTTCTTTCTTTCTTTTTCTTTCTTTCTTTCTTTCTTTTTCCTTTTCTTTTTTCTTTCTTTTTCATTTCTTTCTTTCTTTCTTTTTTCTTTCTTTCTTTTCCCTTTCTTGCTTTTTCATTTCTTTGTTTCTTTATTTGTTTATTTCTTTCTTTTTCCTATCTTTCTTTCTTTCTTTCTTTTTCCTTTTTTCTTTCTTTCTTTCTTTCTCCTTTCTTTCGTTCTTTCTTTCTTTCTTTCTTTCACAAAGATTCAAAGGAAATGAAATTCTTTCTTTCTATCTTTTTCCTTTCTTTCTTTCTTTCTTTCTTTTGCTTTTTCTTCTTGCTTGCTTGTTCTCAGTAATGATATCTCCTTGCTATCCAGCCCCTAACGTGCTCTCCTACCTATGTACGCGAGCACGTTTGGTAGGTTTACTCGCTGTTTCCGTTCAATACGCCATTTGAGTGTCAAATTCTCCCAGCCCTGTTTTCTCATTATGTGTCCCCAAAATTACAACTATCTCTTTAAGTATAAGTATCCTTTTCTCCCCACCCTTTTCTTTAAAGCTTACTCGTTTCTCATATATTCCGCCTGTAGTATTCTCATCATCCTTCTGTATAACCACTCAACTGCTGCCTCCATCTTCCTCTTCATCTCACTATACAGTCATTGATAGCAATTCATCACTGTTTGTTTCTAACTAAATTTTCCTGTTTCCCAGTATTTTGCTTAGCTTTTAAAAGACATCTTTCCCTATTCCAATGCGTGTTACATATTTCAACGTCTAAATTTCTGTATTTGCTTGATTTTGATTCTGATGTTTCCAATTCGGAGTTCGTCTCTTCGGATGTTCCTCTTACTAGCAACATTCCATTCTTGTTTTCCCCTCCTATTAATACTTATTTTTTTCTTCCTGCATTCTTTTATTTCCTTGTCCATGATTTCCTGTAGTTTTTTTTTTCCGTGTCTGCCATCAACATAGTGTCATCTTACATATCCTACTTTGTTAAGATTATGGTCACTTGTCGTGAATTCTCTGCTTACTGGCTTGTCTCAAAAATTTGAAGAGGATTCATACCTTTCCCAAGGGCATTCACTTACGTGATAATACCCTTAGGAAAGGCATGAACCCTCTTCTTCTCCAGCTATGGGTAAGTAGAGGACAGACCTGGTTCTATAGATGGCAACTTGTCTACCGCAGAAAGAAATGGCAACCTACCGCGGGAAAAAAAATCTGCCTCCTCAGTCATGTATCGAAAGATACATGATCGCCTAACCGTGTATCACGTATGGCACATAACTGAAATACCACAGAGTGATGGTTAACAAACATGTCTTCTCATTTATGTGCCGTGTTTCCTTGGGACGTAGGTAATCATGACTCTCCACGACTTCTTGTCTTTTGTAGCTCCTAATAAATTTTGTCTTTTTATTATTTCTCCTAAACACTGTTCCGCCATCCATTTACTCAGGCTCACTAAGTATGTCATGGATTGTTTTCCTATGTTCTTCTTGAACTCAATCTGTCCTGTGAGTATCAGATTTTACAAGCTTTCTTTCCTCATTACATGCCCCAGAAATTTCAACTGTCCCTTCTTGATGTTAAGTATAAATTTACTACTTGTTTCCACTTTTTTCTAAAACCTCGTCCTTGCTCATATGTTCAGTCCATGGTATCCTCAGCATCCTTCTGTAGAATCACGTTTCTGTTGCTTCAAGTTTCTTCTTCATCTGTAAGGTTACTTCCAGTATTCACAACTATATAGAACAGTCATCACGTAACAGTTCAGTACTCTTTTCTTTGTTTCTAACGAAGTTTTTGTGTTTCTTAATACTCTGCTTAGCTTTTGGAAGGCATCTTTGGATATCCCAATGCGACTTCGGATTTCAGTGTCACAATTTCTGTTCTCTGTTAGAATACTTCCCAGATATTTAATTTTTGTACTTGTTTAATTTTGCTATCTCCGATTTGTAATTTGCATTTTGGGATCAACCTTTTGCTAACAACCATTTCTTTCCCTCTTCTTGCAGTTTATGTTTAGTCTTTTCTTCTCGCTTTCCTTCACTAAATTCTTACAGACTCTTAATCCTGTAGTGAGTTCAATCCACGCTTGATTTCCTCATTATCCTCCTCCAACTGATGACAGAATAAACTAACTAATTGCAGTACTGCGTGAATTACTTGGGACATCATTAAAGTAGAGAAATGATATATTATCAAATTATGTTTATTTTTTCCGAAACGTTTTACATAACTGTTCTAAGGTGTCACAAATCAGTATTTTATATCTCTGCCTCTACTTTTTAATGAACATTTGGCCTCATTTTGGCATAGATTCGACCAGTTTCAGACCTATGCTGCTCAATTTTTCATTATGACACCATATATGGATGGCTGCACTGATTAGCTTCTCCATAGTGTTACAGTTGTGTTTCATCAGTCGTTGCTTCACAATACTCCACAAGTTTTCAATGGGGTTCAGACCAGGAGAATTTTCTGGCCAGTCTAAAACTTTTACACCCTCATTTTGAAAAACATTTCTGAATTTTTTCGATGTGTGGCAGGTAGCATTATTTTTCTGAAACACACCATCTCTATCTGGGTAAAATTCTGCCATTGTTCGATGCATATAGACTTTCAAAAAATCTTCGTATTTTGTGCTATTTATCATCCTCTCAATTATTCTCAATCCACTTAACCCATTTGAACTAAAACTGCCCCAGACCATTTTCTTGGGAACGTGTTTTGGCGTTTGCTTAATGTGGCCATCCCTTATGGGTTCACCTTTGCATCTCCGTGCAAAGCAAGATCGATGACTTTTCACTTGTGTGTTTCATCCGAGAACACTTTTTTTTCTATCTTTCACCGTCCAATCATTTTGAGATTTTGCCGATTGGAGTTGTTTATGCTTCATTCTTCCTGTCAAAAGCTGTTTTTATTTTTGTCGTTTTCTGTGTGGTCGCTGCATTTCAAGTAGCTGTCTCCTGACAGTTAAATCAGATATGGACACACTGGATTCCACTAAGTCTGCTGCCAAGTCCCTGCTACTCTTCCTCGTGTTTTAGTGCTGGTTCTGAGCATAATTGCTTCGTCTCTTTTGGTCGTTTTCCTTTGGCTTCCATAACTTGCCTTTTTCAGAACCTTATGGGGGACTCAATAGAGCCTGCCTTTTTACATTGCGTTCAACACTGTGATTGTTGCACAGATTTGATTGAACGTTCATGAAGGACAATAATCTATGCACGTTTTCTAGGAGTTATAACTATTTTTATTTTACCTGTAGAAAGAAAATAATCAGGTTTGTTATGAAATGAGAAACAGTAAACGAAAAAGCATAAAATATTTGACTTACAAGCAAAACAATATAAATCATACAATTCTTAACCCAATAAAAAGTTAAGTCACATATAAATTTTAAAATATTCAAAAGTGTTCTGTTGTATTGATTTTCTAAGAGTCGCATAGATGTGGCAAAAGTGTTCTGTTGTAACCGGAGGGAGCTCTATAATGGCTTCATTATGATTAGGAGTCATTAAACTATTTTGACGCTGTCCAATAAAAAAAAGAATTATAAAATATTAATAACAAAAAAATATATTAAACTGAAGACACTGTCCCAATTAATTCGCAAATTACTGTACTTGAGGGATGAATACAGTAAAACGTGGTTTAGCAAGTTAGACTCGCAGTGTTGTGGCTAATGTGTTTGACTTGCGCTTTGTGATGCAATATTGTGGCCTTTAAACGAGATGAGGCCAGACTGGCCAACTAAACTTATTATAATGTCAGTTATTTTCTCCTGCATCTTTCGAGGTGTCAGCAGTTTTAGTGTTTATTTTTTATCGTTT